CCCTTGTGTGTAATCTCTGTCTGTGACCTCTGTGTAACCCCTGTGTGTGACCCTTGTGTGTAATCTCTGTCTGTGACCTCTGTGTAACCCCTGTGTGTGACCCTTGTGTGTAATCTCTGTCTGTGACCTCTGTGTAACCCCTGTGTGCAACCTTGACCCACCCCCCAGGTATCGGCTCATGTTGAACTGTTGGGCCAAGAATCCGACGTCCCGGCCCACCTTCAAGAACATCCGCATGGAGCTGCTCACCATGATAGGGGAGGATCCGTTCAGCACCGCCCCCGCCACACCCGAACCCTCCGCCCCCTCCACCCCTGACCCCTCCCGCTGCGGCCTTGACCTCCAACCTCCCAAGTCGCCAGCGCGGGGTGGGGCGGCGGGATCGTTCGACAAGGCTGCTCAGAAGCCGGACAGCAGCAGTGGTGGGAAAACTACGTCGCCGACGACCGGGGGCAAGAAGCCAGTACCTCTCCCGCGGGGAATTCCTCCCAAATCCAAGAGTTCCCAGGATTCTGGTGCAGCAGCAACGGCGGCGAAATTGAGACACCCGACGAGCGAGGACAACAACAACGGTGTTGGTGGTGGTGGTGTGATGACCGCTGGGGTGGTGGGCGGTGGGAGCGAGCGGTCGGCAGCGAGGGCCAAGACTCACTCGGACATCATGTCGGTGCCCAAACCCAGCGTGGTGGAGAACGTGGCCATCACCATCCCGGCCTGCTACAATCACCGAGAGGTCAGCAAGAGCGCGGCGGCCGACTACCTGACCCTCGTTGACAACTATGAGGCCCCGCCAAAGTTCAGCAACCCTTTGCTGAGGTCCAAGAACAGGCATGGCCGAAAATCGAACCGCAGCAGGAAGGAGAAGTCGTCGGGCTCAGGGAAGGGACGAGGAGCGGCAGCGACAAGGAATTCTGGATATTTGGAGGTTCACGGCATGCAGCCGTCCAGTGTGGTGGGGGCGTTGGCGTCTCAGAGTTTTGAAATGACCGTGCTTAGCACAGACCCCTCTGGCCACACGCGGTCGCTCCTGGTAGACCAGAGAAATAAAGACAACACATACTACGACCTTGAGACGTTCGACATGGATGACACGGACGGGGAGTACCAGTCGGACCGGTCGTCCAACGTGACCTCCAGCCACCACGACAGCTCGGTCGCCAGCATGCTAGACAGCCGGTACTCCGCGGGGAGCTTCGTTGACAGCAGATATTCGTCGTCGGCTGTGGGTAGCCACCACGCCAGTGACTCATCGCTGGGCTCCACGCCACACGCCGGCGGCGAGCGTTTGAGGGTGAGCAGTCTACACGTGCCGCAGCGCAGAACCTCGCCGCGACAGGACGTACCGGGTCGCGGCTCAACCAACGTCCTGGACATCAGCGAGGAATCCTCACAGCACAACTCGTATGAAGCGACCTCTTTGTAACCTTGACCCCCCCCCCACCAGAGACCCAAGTCGCACACTGGAGAACACAATATCTATAACTGCAGCACACGTAACGTGTTTCTTCTGTGTGTGCTTTGTGGGAATTCTGTGCGTGTGGGGCTAAAGCTGTGACAGCTGAGGGTTAACACACCACCCCGACAGATCTTACCACTACCTTCATCTCGTCACTCTAAGGGTTAAAACACCACCCAGACGGATCTTACAACTATTTTCATCTCGCCACACTTTGAGGGTTAAAACACCACCCCACAGATCTTATTGCTACTTTCATCTTGTCACACATCATCATCATTGCTTTTCTCACCCTGGATCAGGATATAGGCCACAAACTAACACTTTCCACCTTTTCCTATCCCGGGCCAGTCGCTTGATGTCACTTCATGTCTTCCCACTTTTCTGTACATCCATTTCCGTGAGTCTTCTCCAGGTTCCACGTGGTCTTCCCCTTGATGTTTATCTTGTCACACACTAAGGGTTAAAACACCACCCCGACATGTTACCGCTGCTTTCATCTCATCACACTTTAAGGGTTAAAACACCACCCCGACAGTTCTTACCGCTGCTTTCATCTCGTCACACTTTAAGGGTTAAAACACCACCCCGACAGATCTTATTGCTAGTTTCATCTCGCCACTCACCAAGGGTTAAAACACCACCCTGAGAGATCCTACTGCTACTTTCATCTTGTCACACATCATAATCTTCATCATTGCTTTTCTCACCCTAGATCAGGATATAGGCCGCAAACTAACACTTTCCGCCTTTCCCTATCCTGGACTAGTCGCTTGATGTCAGTTTATGTCTTCCCACTTTTCTGTACATCCGTTTCCGTGAGTCTTCTCCAGGTTCCACATGATCTTCCCCTTGATCTTTATCTTTTCACACTTACTTACTTACTACCCATTGGGCCATCTGGCGTTTAGGGCAGCTACAAAGGATCTCCAGCTCTGTCTGTTTTGGGCCATCTTGGTCAGCGTTCCCCACGAATGATTCAAGGACTTCATTTCAGACTCTACTGTGCGTCTCCAGGTTACTTTGGGTCTGCCCCTTTTGCGACGTCCTTCGGGTGTCCATTGGAGGGCAGTCTTCACACATTAAGGGTTATAACACCACCCCGACAGATGTTAATGTTACCGCTACTTTCATCTCGTCACGCTTTGAGGGTTAAAACACCACCCTGACGGAGCTACTTCCATCTGTCGTCTAAGACGGTCACTTTTCTCCTGGACAATGGGCGAAAAGTCGTCATAGAGGATATCAACTGTAGATCTATAACTCACCCAGCTCCAAAAATCATGTTTTTTGTTGTTTTGTTTGATTTTTTTCGCTAGCTTTTGACTTCCGGCATCAATTTAGTTTATATCAAACTTTTACCAGTAATCTTGTATCAGTTTGTTTTGATTGAAAATACGGTCAAATCTTGATCTACCACCACCCCTTACCCTCCCCCATTATACCACCAGCCTCACTTACCACCGGGTTTTGCCAATGTACCAAAAGGAATGCCGATGCAAGCATAGTATTTGCGCCTTTACACTGCCTTCCGCCAACTGTCTGAGTTGTACGGTCCTTATTTAACTACTATGCAGCCTGTCCATAACGACTTTCAATACAACGACATCCTCTGAATAGCGACATGGTGCCCAGGTCCCGATTTTCTCCTTATATTATATCAATAGTCATTTTTGGTTGCGTCTCTAGAACAACAACTCTCTGTAACGACTTTTTTTTCTGGTCCCAACGTAAGCTCATGCCCGGTATTTTCTAGATTATTGCTTATATTTTTTAGATTATCATTCATCATTCATTCATTCATCCAGTGCCAGATCTGCGACAGACATCGGCGATCATGATTTTCCATTCATTCCTTTGCTCGGATGCTCTCAGAAAAGCTACGTTTCCCTGATCTTTCCCTGTTACCCATTTGTTTAGGTTCCCTAAGTATGTTGTTCTTGGCCTACCCCTGCCTCGCTTGCCCTCAATTTTGCCAGTGAGAGCTAGATGTTCAAGACCCTTATGTCTATTCAGGTGTCCCAAAAACTGCATTTGTCGTTTCCTGATTGTTTTTAACATTGAGCGTCCCACGTGGGCTTCATCAGGCACTACCTCATTTGATTTCTTTTCCTTCCACGATACTCTTAGCAGTCTCTTAAGAAACTACATTTCTGTTGCCTGTATTTTATTTTCACTGTCTTTAGTGATTGTCCAGCATTCACAGCCATATGGAAGGGTTGACCAAACATAGCATTTCAGGACTTTCATTTTGGTGTTCATTGATATGTTTCTATTTTTCAGGATTGGGCTCATTTTATTGAAACTAGCCTTAGCCATTGCAGTTCTCCTTTTTATTTCTGCGGAAGATTTGGCATCAGATGTTATCATATATCCTAGATATTTAAACTGTTGGACTTGTTTGATCTTTTCACCTTTGCTAAAGAGATTACAACTAGGATTTGCCTCTTTTTTGGATATCACTAATATTTTCTAGCTTACCGGAATATTTCCCATAATTTTCTCGCTAGAAAATACTGGGGATAGAGCAGATAGAACAAGGTTTCTGACCTCGTGGTGGTCTTAGTAAGTCAAAACGACCAAAAATGTCAAATAGAACTTTGAAAGAAGTTACAGAGAGGCTGCACTGCAATGTAACTCACCAGCCCCACTATTCCGCCAAGTTCATGCTGGTCCCAAAGGTGGCAGTATAGCGAGGTTTGACTGTATGGAAGTAAATGGTTCTGGCCGTGGTTTCTCTTTGTCTTTCTTAAAAGATAATTCTTTGAGTCAAAAATGTGATGACTAATACTACAAATGGTGTGACTCCTATCATATCATTATACTTTGTATTTTATTGAACCCTAGCCGTATGTCGTGTTTTACTATCGTATCCATACGACGTGGGGAACTCTGTGACACCATTTTCCAAAGAGGTAATTTACTCGTTGTTAATCTGTTCCGTACGGTTTGCATAGCAGTCTGTCAAAATGTTGGGTTTTTTAAAAAATACGGATAGGGTTAAATGAACAAGAGGAAGTTAATTTTTTAATTCTCTTTTATATGGCTCCCTGCTAGCACGCAATTTTTCTGTTTTGGGAATTTCCAATTATCCTGTGTTCATAAGGGAGTTTTGTTGTTTGGAACCAAAAAAAAGCAGAATAAAAAACTACATGTAACCTATAGGTTAAATAATATGTTCCAGAACTGTATCTATTATAGATCTATATTTGGCAACTTGGAAACGCATGTGTCACTTTTCCCATAAAACTAAGACAGCTAGCTACGCAGTTGAAAGTTGGCAAGTAGGCTACCTGCAAAAGATAGATAGGGCCCCGTGATGTAGCCCGATTTTTTTATTTTTTTATTTCCTGAATTTAGACAATACATTTGACAAAAAGTTCCCGTCCTTCTTTGGCCTTTGTGTTTATTCCACTGAGAAACGAAACAAATCTGCGTAGAGCTGTCCTTTTCAGCGGAAGCGCAGGAAGTGATATTTCGTGAGGCGCATTTTGTTTTGAAAGTATAGATCTAGACTTTCTACGCAAGATTTATTGCTCCATTCCAGTGGAGTGTAAATATAGTGGGCCAGTGACTTCCAGTTAATGTTAAAAATGCACCGATCATTCCTTTCATCGAAAGGGGGGTCCAGCTAGTGGTAAATATTTCCCACCTTGGATGGGCAAACTCATGTATAATATGTACTACTATCTATCGATGGGCAAACTCATGTATAATATGTACTACTATCTATCGGCTTGTCTGTCTCTTTTACTTGCACTTACCATGTACTGTACTGCTTTATTTATACACGACAGCAAGATACTGAACTCTCTCCTGTTTCCCAGCATGAATTAATATTGTCAATTAAAGATTGTTTTCCCTTTTTATCAGCACTTAACTTCAGTGTATTTTTGTCATCTGTATTATTATTGTTGCTGTTATAATGATGATGATGATGATGATTATTATAAATTTATTTTATTATTATTATTTTATTTTTTAAAATTATTATTATATATTTTATATTCTTATTGTTATTATATATATATTATCTTATTATTATTATTATTAAAGACTGTAGTTCTGGGAATCTTAGTTCAACTCTGTGTGGGTGGTTGGCAGGTGCTCTGATGTGGTTTACATTTTTCATTAAGTCTCTCATTACCTATTTCTTTTTCTCCCTCCAACTTTCAAAATGGATCTGGCTGTTTTACTTGTGTATTACCAGCTGTTTTAGTTTTACCTGAATTACCAGTAGTCCCCCCCCCCCCCTGTCAGAACAGATTAGATGTGGGAACAGGGAATCTTCCACATTCAAAAACAAGCATTCAGAACCACACCAGAGCACCTGCCAACAGTGGCGTGGCTCTCCAAGCGCAAATGGCGCCATGACGCCACCCTTTGAAATGGAGAAGGGATTTTCAAAAAAGGAATACAATTTTCCAAACTTAATTAACAAAATATCAATATCACCATATTTTTTTCAAACAAATCTCTTATTCAGTGTTCACCCCTAATTTAAAGTACGCCAGTCTTTAGTAAGGTGTCTATAATTAGGCTAGTCGGAGGAGGATGGGTAAGCTTCCCGTTACCGGTTGCAAGGTCCTCCCGCGTCTTTCGTTCCCTACGTCTGACGTCACCGGGTTCGAATCCAGAGGAAGCGGCCGAAAAAAGTTTCTTCTCCAGAATTGTCTCCTTTCACCTCCTTTCCTGCTCTTTAACTATGTTCTGTCGTCTGCTTTCGTCTCCTCTTCCTGTTCCCACCCCCTCACCTCCTTTGCCCCCTCCTCTGGGCTCCTGACTCTTTCTGCATCCTTTCGACTGCTACTCCTTGGCTCCTTCTTACTGTTGTCTTTCAGCCACACCCCTGATCATCTGGTAGGAAAAGGGCGAACAATCTCGGAGGTCCCGTGTGCAAGTTGCGCACGTTAAAGATCCCTTGGTGGTCTAAATTCGATAAGAGTAGGTGCTGCCACCCGGGCAAAATTCAAAATTTTCTACCAAATGGAAAAGTTTAACGTGTACCCCGCGCTCATATGACCTTACGCAGTTGCGAGCGCCGTAAAACACTTACCAACCCCCCCCCCCCACCCCCCATCAAAAACTGCAAAAAAGAACATAATATCAGAACAATAACAAGGAAAATGAAAACGCAATAAATAGGCACAAATTAAAGGGAAACAGCCATGCATAATTATAGTAAGTAATGTACTTATTCTTCGCACGAAATTTCAGTGAAAATAACAAATCAACGTGGTGTCAACAAGTGAGAAAGAGACGAAGGGAAGAGGAAGTGAAAGTAAACTTTCTAGTTTTTTTTCTAAAAGTAAATTTAATGAATGAGGTTCGGTTTCTTTATTTTGGGGTTTTTTTGTATGTTTTCTATTTTATTTTAGTTTCTCGATTTTTTCCCAGAGGTTTGTTTTTCGATTTTTTAAATTCCCGAGCGATGTTTTTGTTGTTGTTTTTTTTAATGCAAAAATCATGGCGACAAACGCAGATCCTAGATAAGAGATGAACCGAAAGATACTGGGGAGGAGCTAAAAATTATTAGGGATTAACTAGAAAATACTGGGGATGAGAAAGAAAAGTCTGGGGAATATTGGGGATGAGCTAAAAAATAATGGGAGGGGCTACAAAATATTGGGGAAGTGATAAAAAATATTGAGAATGAGCCAAAATGGGGAAGAGCTAGAAAATATTACGGATGAGCTAGAAATCACTGTGGATGAGCTAAAAAAATATTATGGATCATCTAAAAAATAAATACTGGGGATGAGCTAGAAAATACTGGGG